TCTGGTGTTTATTGCCTGGTCTTGAGCTGCTACAAGTAATCCCTCTGTTTCTCCTTTCAAATTACTTGACAACCATTTGTTGGTGGTGACTGAGTCTACATGAGGCTTCTCTAGGATCTTTGCAATGCTTTGTTTTTCCACTTTTCTTCTTTCATTGACTTGATCCTGGACTTAAACACGTGTTTCAGGGCTTTAGCATTTTCAGAGGCAGATTTATCTTCTCTGTTCTCATTCTCTGTTATTATTATTATTATTATTACTATTATTATTATTATTATTATTATTATAATCATAATCATAATTATTGTTATTGTTATTGCTATTGTTGTTGTTCCTAGCGCTATAAATTGCTTTTGGTATTGTCTTAGAACCGAGCCTATTCCTTGGTGGTCTTGAGGTGCTAGAGGTGGTATGTTTACTAGATGGACAGAAATCTTTTTAGTGTGTGCGCAGTTCCAAATAGGATGACCTTTTGCAGCTCATTGATCAGGATTGTTCTGGGGCCAGCCGATAGCAACAACTGATCGGCGTTAAAATTAGTTGAGACACTTTGCCCTCAAGCAGTTGTCAAGGACATTATTTCTCTCGTTTTCCCGACACTGTCTACTTCTATATGGGAAATGAAGCTTCTCTTCTCCCCCTCATGGTATTAACTCTTTAACGCCCAATATCCACATCCAAATTCTCCAGACTGATCTCAATACATTTCCTTAAAGCCTGATAACAGTGGAACACCAATGGGCCAAAAAAAAAATTGGCCGTATTAAGGTGGTGACCGTATTAACGAGGGTTTTTTTGATAAGAAAATTTATGGCAGTTTTTGCCAGGTGGCCAAAAAAGAGGCCGTAATAACGAGGTGGCCGTAAGGCTGGGTTTTCCCTATATTTGAGGGAATTTAACAAAAGTTCAAAGCATTTTCTCATTGGTAATCATTTTGTTAATAGACCTTTTTACCGATACGGCGGCCATATTGAATTTATTAGATTTAAGGAGTATTATGGGATGCCCAGGGGGCACTCGCTCAGTACTTACGCGCGCTTTTCGGGCAAAAAGATAACTTCCCTGTATATTTCTTGGGACAAAGGCGTTCATTATTACATCCAAACACGGCACGACGATCTTTTTTCCCATTACAATCGTTTCCAAGGAAAATTTAAAGAAAAATTGGCCCGAAAAGCGCGCGTAAATACTGTTGCGAGTATATCGGATCGTGCTCATGCCCCCTGGGCATCCCATAGTACTCCTTAAATCCAATTAATTCAATATGGCTGCTGTATCGGTAAAAAGGTCTATTCTCATAACTTTTTCTCTTGATTATGTATTGTTTTGTTAGAAGAAAATGGATGTCACTTTTGGGACTCAAAAGGTTAACACTACATTCTATCAGCCGATGGTTATCTATATGATTGCATTCTGTTTTTTACGTTCCAGCATGGATTGGTTCCATAGCGTTTGGTGTAAACTTCCTTTTCGGCCCAGTAGCGAGCAGTTTGTGTCAAAGATTCAGCTGTCGCCTCGTAGCTGCAGCGGGTGGTCTNTTATGTATTGTTTTGTTAGAAGAAAATGGATGTCACTTTTGGGACTCAAAAGGTTAACACTACATTCTATCAGCCGATGGTTATCTATATGATTGCATTCTGTTTTTTACGTTCCAGCATGGATTGGTTCCATAGCGTTTGGTGTAAACTTCCTTTTCGGCCCAGTAGCGAGCAGTTTGTGTCAAAGATTCAGCTGTCGCCTCGTAGCTGCAGCGGGTGGTCTCATTGCAGTCTTTGGTTTTTTGGTGACGTCATTTGCCAATAGTGTCTACCTCATCTACTTCACATACAGTGTCGTCTGGGGTTTTGGTTCTTCTTTAAGCTTTGCTACTACTACATTTGTATTAGGTGAGGTTCGTTGAGTAGAGGTCGACATTTCACAGTTAATAAATAATGTTTTAAACTTTATCTCCCCCGCAGTCCCCCTAACCTTTTTCCACCCCATATTTGTCTAAGGTCTGCGTATTTCCTCGGAGGACTCAACCAATTGCGTTTTTGCTGTTTTCATGCAGGAAAAGGGTCGTCATCTCCTGGGAAAGGATTGTAAGGAACGAAAATGATCTCCTGTTAAGAGCTCTTTCATGAAAAACTTTCCGCTTTCTCAGTTCCTGCTTTCAGGAGGGGAAAAATGTCTTTAACGTTGCTTCCTTGTTGAATCGGCGACCGTTTTAACAACCCAGTCCCAGTCCCTCTAAGATAAATTGCAGGGACTTTCGATTGTGCCAACTTCAATCTAATGACCGGCACAGTGATTCATGGACTGAGACTATGAATATGCTCTGAACAAATTCACAGTTGATCTGAGCATAACATATGATAATATTTTGGAATGAATACTTATGTTTCCTCATTCAAAGCTTTTCGACCAATTTAATTGCATTTGACAATATCTTTTCAGGTCAGTACTTCAAGAGGAGACTTGCGCTAGCCAATGGTATTGTTACTGGTGGAAGTGGTGTTGGTGCACTGGCAATGGGACCCTTTTACCACCTCATCTTGTCAAACCTCGGCTGGAAAATCTTGCTACGAATTCTCAGTGGATTCGCCTTTCTCATGTTTGTCAGCGCATTATTCTACCGTCCCCTCCATGCTAAGTATAATCGTGTACACGCAGAATCAAAAGAGAGAGCCAAGCTGTTTGACTTGTCGGTATGGAAGATAAAGCCGTTCGTGTTTTTGGTTGCATCCATATCACTGCTACACATTGGCTACTTTATTCCCTTCATTCACTTGGTGAGGAATGTTAGATATTATAAAATGATTGAATACTTGTTTCCTCAAACATAGGAGATATGCATAATCGGAATTTGCTCCTTAATTCCAAAAAGGCTCGAAACTCATGAAAAATTGCGCAGCAAAGTTTCGCCATGACATGATTTGTCTGCTCATCGTTTTCAGTTGAACGGCTACACGTTCTTAGCGCGTTAACGAAACCATGAATTTTAGGTACTCTCATTGAATCCGTTATGTTACGCTGTTTAGGTTTGGGAGACTCGTGACCTACAAAGGTTCTTATATGGCGCATATCACAACATACCGTTCTCAGTAATCATGATTTTCCAGTTTGTCAGTGGTTAGAGGATCCGGCAGGTACTTGCACGACTCTTTTAACAAAAAAATCTCTCTCAAAATATCGCAGAACAAAGAATGCCTATGAACAAGAGAATCTTTTATGTTCTCTGACTTGCTATTAATTAAAGAATCAATACATGGACAAGAGCTTTTCATGTCATACACACACTGTTAAAGCCTTAGCCGGTGGAGTTCAATAAACTGCTCAGCTGAAGTGGACTAAGCTTCTTAGTAACTTTCTTGAACTGTTCCATTGTAGAAAACCGATTGCGTGCTCCTAACGTCGAACGCAACCATATCTTGGGCAATCCTGTGTTTCCTGTGTTCGCCTAGCTTTTGACAGTTAAACTGACAATTTCTCAGTTCCACACTCTTGTTCTACCTGAAATGTATTCTTAGGTGGCCTCAAAAGGTGCTCTAAATACTTTATTACATTTTCAGCCTAATTACTCTGAGATTCTTGGTGTACCTGAGTCTAAAGCCTCTTTGCTAATAGGCTTTCTTTCCATTGCTTCAACCCTGTCACGTGTTCTCTTTGGCCTTATGCTCAACCACCCTAGAGTGAATCGTTTCCACGTTTTACAGGTATGTATGGAGATCTTATAGTATTTATTAGTGATGTTCTTCTTTCTTTACTATGGCGATTATGGTCACTCGTCTCGCGTTAACACATATGAATCGAAGATCGACATCAGTTATGATGGCAAGAAAAATTCTAGTGTGAATCACTCCAGCACTTAAGACCGCTCAAATGATTATTACATTTACTAAGTCTTATGTTATGTCAATCTGAGTAATTCGCAAGAGCTTATTACTGAACACGATGCCGTTAGCCGCAATGATCGATGTTTTTCGATGTTTTCCAGGTTAGCTTTGTAATGATGGCTGTCACATGTACACTATGTCCGCTGGCACGGGATTACACCGGGCTCATATTATATGCCGTTGGCTTTGGAGTGTTCGACGGATGTTTCATTTTGCTCATCGCCATCACGATCAGTGATGTAGTTGGACGTAACAGGTTACCACAAGCCTTAGGAACTTTGTATGGAGTTATGTCACTTCCTGTTATATTTGGACCACCCCTGGCAGGTATAGGTTTGCTTTAAGTTTAACAACCAATTTACTTTGTAGCTAAAAGCTAGAGGACGGTGTCCAAAAAAGAGGCTTTGGGAGTGAACAACCCTGAAACTTTTTCGTGGATTCTCAATCCTTAAATCATCTTGTCTGCAGTTTTTTTTCTGCTGGTCCCACAGAGGAGATAAAAGTTTAATTTGCTTAAAGAATCACGTGTAGAACGAAAAATTTTTACTCTTTATAATGTACTGAATCGGCGCGTGGTAGCCGACTTAAGTATACAGCAGTTTTTATAGTTTGGACATTTCAATAATATTGGCCTTTCAGGCCGCACCAAACGTACTGCTGTTGTTAGAATACCTAGGATAAACTGGTTTTATACGGTGCCCTGCACTTCCTTTGCAAATGGTATTGCCTCACTGGACACATGGATACCAATCAAAGTATAAATATCATATGCAGAGCCGCTGAAAATTAAATTCAACTTTTCATTTGTTCCATATTCGTTCTCTTCCAGCGTATATTTTCGAGATAACTGGATCATATCAGGATGCTTTTTTCGTAGCCGGAGCCGCCATAGCTGCCGGATCTTGCACTCTTCCTTTTACTCGACTATTTATGCCAGATCTAGAAACCGGCAGAGAAAGGAAAGAAATCCGCCAAGAGACTTCTGAAAAAGAACAAACTGCGCATGGCTCAGCAAAAGCCAATGGAATTGCGGCCGGGGAAGAGCAAAGAAACTCATGTGTATGACACAAGACAATTTATGAATCGCAAGTTTCGTCGCCTTGCTGTATTTGAGGACACTTTAAGGGGTCCTCTCCTCTACTCGTCGAGTAGGAGACGGCCTTGGGAACGAGGTTGAGATAGACTGAGCAGTCATTGGCTAATGATGTCTACTAGCTTATTATACCCAATCATTACCTTATACATCATACGCAGCTATCACCTAATTTCCTAACCAATATCTTATCATATGTTATCGCTTCTTGAGTAGCCCTCTCCGTGCCTTACCCCTATTCGGCACTAAAGCATAATACTCAGTAAGCTAGACTCTATTAACTAGAGGACAGGCGCAATGAACTCTGTATGAGGAATATGAAGAAAATTTCTCCCCAGAAGTTCAAAAGGTGGTCAACTCTCGAAGATCTATCGCAGACTAGGGCAAGCCCCCATGCATAGACTGTATCGATCGTTAAAATCTCTATCACTTGGACATCTTTTTACTGGAGATATAATCGATTCAGACTAACTGCTTCTTCATTCGTACCACAAAGCTTTTCTCATGATTGAAAATATTTCCCACCTCTCCTCCCCTGTGTTGTGGAGGGGGCGGGTTGTAACCAAATGTTGTATATATAATCAGTTCTCTGTAGTTTTAATTCTTCACTCCATTAAAGCTTATTTCTTCACATGTTCATATTTTAGAATTCTGTACTCTGTTCTACACTTAAAGGATTCATCGACA